GACTCTTCGGTATTTGTAAAAAGTATTAGAGAACGAATTTTCTTTTTCAAATATTTTACAAGCTTTTTATTTTTAAATTTAGTCTTTTGGTTTAGTATCACAAATTGGGTTTCTTATAGTTTATTTAATCTTATTTTCGAACTATAAGATAATTTGAATAGTGTTACCTTATTATTTAGGATAATTATAAACATATATATGTTACGTTTAATTAATAGTTTATATAATTATAAATTATTAATTGTATTACTATTATAATCAATTACTTTAATATTATAATAAAGAATTATGTTAAGATTCTATAAATAAAGCTTTCTAAATATCAATTAACAGAGGAAATTTTCTTTTTTTGAAATTAAACTTAAGCAGAGGAACCTCGGGAAATTCAAAGTATTTAACTTTTTTTTAAACTACTGTAACTCCAGTAAAAAGAAAATTTGTGCATACTATAAGACTGATTAGTTTTTTTATAGCTTATATGTGAGTCTGTTATTTGCTTTTTAGACCCTGTAATAAATCTTTTGCACCGACAACACCACAGTCTAGTCTTAAGCTTAGATCAGCTTGACTATTCAATGTACCCGGGGACCCACACCCCCACACTCCCATGAACCGGCTAATCAAAAACCACCAAATACAACAGCGACGGCTAGTCTATGACTATACTGGCATATAAATATCGGTTTTTTTATCAATATTAGGCTTATTTAAGTGATAAATATATATATTGAAAAAAAGCTTGAAAAAGACAGTTAAATCGTCACTAGTTGCACCTAGGTAAGCTTTATTTTAAAAAATTGGTAGTAAAAAAGGTAGTGTCGAAAGTAACTACTTACACTTACTATATTACCTTTTCCACTACAAATTAGTGAAAGTAAAGCTTACCTAAGTGTAACTAGTATAAAATTAGCAGTCTTTTTTAAGCCGTTTTTAGAGTATATAGATATAACTGGTATTAGTAGAAAAGGCGTGTAGAAACATAAGCTTTGTTGGCTACTTATATCTACTACATTAGTTTTTCTACCATTGATTAGCTAATATATTAACCAAAAAAAAAGCATATAAAAAGCTTCCATTTATACCGAATTTAAATAATCTCTTACATGTTTTTAATGTATTTATATAGTAAGATATTTACGTAAAAATAAAGCAAAAAATACTATTTTTCTACCACGCTCGGCACAAAACCGCAGTATAGTCTCAAACCTCTTTTCAATTATTTGTGCGAGGGCCCTACAAATACCTAGAAGTGGCCTGTGCGGCTTATGGGCCCTGTGGGGCACTTAGCTGTACATAAAAAGAGGAAACTCCGCACCGCTCCCCGTTCAAGTGTGACGAACCCCTATCCAGAACCTCTCCGAAAGAGATACTGGTTGAAGGCACTTCTGAACAATCCTAGTTTGGTACAGCTAAACAATATACAACAAATGGCTTGTCTCAATTACAACAGTCTAGATATCAACGATTGTGACTTGTATTGCATACTGCGGAACTGTCTATCTACGCCAGCCAGTTCCTCTGTATATATAGACCTTGATCCTTCAAGTACCTCCGTACCTGGCTCACTACGCTCACCAGGTGAGCCTGGTGATCCGGCTCACCTTTGCCAAGCAGTGAGCCTCCCATCACCCTGCAGCCTCGCCGCTGTGTCTCTCTTCCCTGATTAGCGCACACGGCCCGCTGCAGTCTCCACTTGGTCTTGCTATATTGTTGGTCTGTGACATCGAGGCATCCACAAATCTTCGATTCTCTATTTCTTTTTTTTTTTAACAAAAGGATTTTTTAAAAATATTATGTAGAAAGCGTAAATAAAATAAGTAAAATATAAAATAAAATACAATAAATACAATAAATACAATAAATACAATAAATACAATAAATACAATAAATACAATAAATACAATAAATACAATAAATACAATAAATACAATAAATACAATAAATACAATAAATACAATAAATACAATAAATACAATAAATACAATAAATACAATAAATACAATAAATACAATAAATACAATAAATACAATAAATACAATAAATACAATAAATACAATAAATACAATAAATACAATAAATACAATAAATACAATAAATACAATAAATACAATAAATACAATAAATACAATAAATACAATAAATACAATAATGAAAATAATTAATTTAGAATGGTAAGCTTTGCGGAACTAAGCTTACTCGCTCCGCTGTTTCGTTCGCAAAATTTATACTTGGCTTACCACTAAATTAAATCTTTCTTTATAAAAAAAATTTTAAACCTTAAAAATTTTTTGCCCGAAAATCAAATCTATAACCTTTCCGAAAAAAATTATTTATTTCATTTAAATATACCATAACCTATATTTATTTTTAAAAAAAAATTCGTCATATAAAGAATAAAACTTATATTCACTTAACTATATTACAGTTTAATTGTTGAATTCCATAAATAATAATAAAATAAAATTTTCTTTTGGGAGAGCCGATCCGGGCGGAAAGACTTCGGGGAAATGTAAGTATCCCAAATCTGTTTCTGGACCTCCGTAAACTCCGGTAAAAAGAAAGATTTGTGGATGCCAAAATGGAAGAGGTCTGAGCTACTGAGACTACACCAGTCTGCCTCCGTTGGGTTCATCGCAAAAAGGTCGCTACGCGCCACACCCTTCTTGATTTGCGTTAATAATGCCCGACAAGACCCTCACAGTCGCAACTTATGCTGCAGGTGCCTCGTTTGCCGCCATCACCCTCGTCTATGTATTTGGCCCGACTTTCTTCTTCGATGCTGGCCCATCTGCCTCGACGAACCGAAATAGAGGCGCCGTCGGCCTCTCCAACCCTGCCAATGATTGTTTCATCAACTCTGTTCTCCAGGCACTCGCTGGGTTAGGGGACCTTCGAGTTTATTTAATACGCGAAACACATCGTCGCAGCCTCGATGACGAGCTCGTCTACGCCCAGGTTGTACCAGTCGGTCTTCTCCCAGGAGATGCGCAACACTTTAGGGGCGACATGCCACACTGGAAGATGGAGGGTTTTCAGAAAGGGCTGGTAACAAAGGGACTGAAAGATATCCTGGACGCTCTCAACGAACGACCTTTGTACAAGAAAACCATCACCGCCATGCCATTCCTTCGTGTCTTGGAGGAGGCATTTCGCCAGCGAATTAGCAGACGGCAACAAGACGCTCAAGAGTTTCTGCAAGTGGTTGCGGAAAGGCTCTGTAATGAATACCACGCGGGACGAAGAGCGAGGGCCTCTGCACGACGGAGTTGTGCTCTTGGTGATGCCGCTTTGGAGCTTGCGCAGACAGCGCCACACAAGGACTCAACCCAGGGCCTGGTGATACAAGTCAACGACATTGAAAAACCACAAGGGCAGTCTGAAGTTGTCAATGATGGACTTGGTGAAGGGCAAGAGGAAGGCTTTCCTATGGAGGGACAGTCTAAATCACAGATCGAATGCCTCACATGTGGTTTTAAACCCCGTCCTACAGCAACAACATTTTGCACCTTGACTCTCAATGTGCCACAGGTGTCATCGGCCACCACCCTTGGGGCTTGTTTTGATGGCATGTTCAAGACAGAATACATCGACGACTTCAAGTGTGAAAAATGTCGTTTGATGCATGCCATACTATTACTGGAAGCAGACCTGCAGCGATCCACCTCGGAAGTGGCAAGAGAAAATATACGAGCAGCTATCGACAAACTGCAATCTGCTCTTGAAACAGATCCTGAGGACCCCCCGAATGATGTTGTTTTACCAGACCTCAGTCATGCCCCAAAGCGACGAATAGCACGCCACATCCGCCTTACCAGTTTCCCGAAGATCCTGGCCATTCACCTCTCTCGCTCAATCTTCGACGCCAGTCATTATTCTCAGAAAAACTCGGCCAAGGTGGTTTTCCCCGAAAAACTTCCCCTGGGTGGGTTGCTTAACCAAAAAAAGTACAAACTCTTGGGCGTGGTGACACACAAGGGAAGTCACGACAGCGGTCATTATGAAACATTTCGTCGCCAGGTTATGCAACCCCCCTTTTCCAACCCTAGCACGTTTAAGCCAGCAGAAGTCTATAGCAGAACCGTCAGCCCGGCGCCCACGCCGCACATCAGAGCTCAGCGACCGGACGGTGGAGAGGAGAACTCGTTGATGTCAACACCAGATCTTTTGTCCCCTTCCGGGGGAGACTCACTCACGCCGCCGTTGGACCCTTGGAAACACTCTGCACCGGCACCTCAAACGTCTATCTTACCGGATGGAGATAAGCCAGCGTCACCTTTGGGCTCTCCGCAGAAAGATGTCTTGTCTGTCAGCAGGGGTAGGGAATCTGAATCCACCAGTCTCCGGTCGGTTGCAGCAAGCGCCAAATCAACGTTCTCCAAAATCACCTCTCGACCTTCAGCCGGGACCGAAAGCAACTCAAAATCTGACGTGATGGATACATCTACTGCGAAATCATTGACCACTGCCAAGCCGAGGCACCGAAAAGTCCAAGACCGGTGGTGGCGTATCAGCGACGACAAAGTTAAGGAAGCAAGTACCCGCGATGTTTTGAGCATGCAGCGGGAGGTCTACCTTCTGTTCTATGAGCTGGAGCGCGCATAAAAGCCAGTTTCCATTGCTTCTAGCAAGCCCCTTATCCTAAAGTCATTTGAGTCAGCATCACCAATGTCGTGCCATTGGGATTGTCAGTAGTGTGACAGTCCTACTTTGGAGAGACTACTTCTGAGGGAGATCGCGGTTGGGTAATGTAGATGTATTAAGTAAGGCTAAGCTAGACAGGTCATAGCATAAGCACCCCAACATGGCTCGCGTGAACTCCTTGCAGGCTCATAAACTTGTATCGGTTGCTTGGGCAAGTGTAAGAACCAAGTTCTTACAGCCCCCTATTTTCCCGCCAGAACCAAGCAACCATGTGTGTGATGGCGGGTGTTATTTTTGCGCCGATACTGGAACGCAAGTGTTGCTGGCAAGACGACAGTGTATTTGTCATGCTGACAGGCTCACTGGCCAAGCAACTCTTTAGCTAACTTGGCAGCTTCATCGCCGGTTGGCACAGGTGTACTGTGGGCTTGGGCCGACTTTTGCGAGTCGAAACGCCACAATCCGCCAGTCTTGTCAGCGTCGCCATGCTCTGCCAGGTTGACGATTGGACCCAACCGGGTCAAGACCAGATCGGGGGAATCCGCGGAGGCAGTAAAATAGCGCCGTTCCCATGTGCGCCCCTCGGCCTTCTCTTTAATACGCATTTCTCGCTGAGCACTCTCGATCTTGCTCTTCTCAACGTGGACAACGTCAAATTCACCCTTCGCAATCGCCACTGCAACCTTGTTCCATGCCCTTCTTGACTCAAGGGGATGTTGCTCATCGATGGGAGCGACGATGAGGTTACTTGTTGGGTTTTGGGCCGGGTCCCAAAGTTCCACCAAGTTGCCGGCGCTGTTGTGCTTGGCCGGGCCGGAGTGTATCTCGAAGGTTTTGGTCCACTGTCCCGAGACGTTGAAGAGGACATCCTTCTCCTTTCCAGTCGGGTACAACACCGCAGTGAGGGAATTTTTCTTGCCAGATAACCAGCCCTTTCCACTGTAGTCGATCTTTGCCGTGAAGCCAGTCGAGGATGTAATGTAGGAGCTACCGTCAAGTTCGATGAAAGGGGAACCAAAGACGAGACCCTCGATGTGCAGCGACGGAAGAGTGATCAAGTAGGTGTCAGGTTCTCCCGAAGACGAGGGAACAGTGAGAACGGCGTGGCCTATTTGCTTGACGTTGATTGTCTTGGAAAAGGACGCCTTCTGGGCATTGTAGCCCTCGAGCCGAACACCTGATTGAGCTGCATGTTAGCCTTGGGCTTGGCACTCCCTCTTCTTCAGTCCAGAGGAAGGAATTCGTCGTACCGGTTGTAGCATTAGTGATGTTGTAGGCAGTTGCTGGTGGGTGATGGCTAATATCAGTGTCAGCAATCTGTCGGCTGCAGCAGAGAGAGCAGGCCACGGGTCGACGAACCTAACCTGCTCGCTGATGAGCTCAGTTGTCCCAGCACCGTCCTCCCATTTCCCGAGGAACAGCTCGCCCAGGAACGGGTTCAGTGGCTTCTTTTCATTCCCGTATTGTTCACTCCGACTGGCGTACTGCTGTTTTAATGTTGTCAAGAACCACTTCAAGACCAGAAGCGCACGTTTCGCGGGGTCGGATTCTTTGGCAGGTGCGGCGAAAACGGATGGATGTTCGCACCAGTACGAGCTGAACTCGGTAAGGCTGGTAGACGAGAGGATGAAGGGAGGTGCGGTAAGGCTGGAGAGGTCTCCGTTGAAGGACGCGATAGACTGATCCCGTCAAGGGAAGGTTAGCCGCAATGCGGTACAAAAGGTCGTGTCGATAGCTTTGACTGAGCAAGGCAAACTGACTGACCTTGAGGAAAGCACCCCAGCCTCCTCCAGCACCGGCTTGCGCTTGCTGCGGTGGGGTCTCCATGATGTCTCCGAGGTGTGTTGAGCGCGAGTATAGACAGTTGGGAGGATTGCAATGGAGCAGCACAAAGCGTGGTTGAATGCGATTTGTGATGGAGGGTACCAAGTCTCGACACACGAGATCACTGTGGAGTTGTGGGGAATGGCGGAATGGAGGGGTATGCTGGTGGAGAGTGGGTTCTTCCCGGTGATTTAAGAACGAGTGGCCCTTCTGAATGGTCTTGGGGAGCAAAAGGCGGCCCCCTTATTATGTTGCCGGCTTGGGACACCTCCAAGACCTAGGCTGCGCCAATCATTGGTTACCTGCCCCCGAATTGTCAAGGTTGGGATACCTTTGTAACTGCGATCTGCTTGACGTCAACGTCTCGTCCCATGTTTCCCACGTCACTGGCAGACCAAAACCCAAAGGGGTGGGTGACAGTCTGGCAGTCTGCAGCGTCAACAGGTACTGGGAACGACCTGGACGCCGACGCCAAGCTGTTGAGGTTTAACCTTGGCCTCAGCCACCCACCATGACTTGAAGCTCTAGATCCGACAAACTTAGATTCTGTTGACGACTACCTGTGTTTCTACCCTAATTGAAATTCGCACCAACCAATCGACAGCAAACAAGATCCAGTATTTGTCACTCTGAATCCAACTTGGACTCGACCTCCTTAGACCACCACTCAGCCCAGTCAACCACTTTTCTCTCCTTTCTTGCCTTTTCGGCGCAAAACACGATCGCGTGACTTCGAATAACCTCATCTAAAGTGCATCCAATCAGCTCTCTCTGGGCTCGGTCCGTAGACCAGCCGTGATTCTTGACCATGTCGACAGCCATGACAAACTGCCTTGTCAGACCAGCGTCCCCACCACCATGGCCCAGGCTCTCGACCTGTGTGTTGTGAGTGATGCTCTGTCCCGTGTTGAAGTTATGAACGGTAATGGTCTTTGAGTCGGCAAAAATTTCACCGTCTACACCATAAAGACGCGTGTACCGTTCGCACACCTCCTTTGTTTGGGCTACCATGTGGAACGTAGCCAATTTGCTACCACGCCCGCGAAGATTATCCACCGAAGGAGCTGTCAGTGCGGTACTGCCACTACTCCTGTCTTGGCTGGATAAAGGGGAAGAGGGCCTCGGGTCTTCATCCCACGAGATGGTGACAATCTGCTCGTCGCAAACGTCGTTGTCACTTTCGTAGACGCATCTGCCAAACCAGTTACGCTGTGCGACCTCTGCATTTGTGGTGGTGTCGTCGTAGTCCTCGGCCAGATTTGCGAGCACGGCAGCTTCGGCGTCTTGCCCAGTTCCATAAGACTCAATGTCCGGAATAACTATGCTCAAGGGCCATCCTCTGTTGCCTGTGCCCACGCCCACGAGTTCCGGGCCAACGTAAATTCGTTTGGCTGAGTATTTGCAAGACTGTTCAATGGGGCAGGACAAGCAGTTTGTGGTTGCTCCAGCTGCCAAAGGCTTTCTACTTTTCTTGAAATACTGAAGCGACCCTGTGCTGGAAACGGTGGAGGGCAGGTGAGGCGGAGGGCAGCCTCGCGAGGAACAGTCTGGAGGTGAACAGAGAAGCCACAAAAGCACATCGATATCGTGGCAGCTCTTGGTAAGCAGGCTGGGAGCCGATGTCCTCTCACGACGCCTATATAGATTCGCACCGGTTAGGTATTGGCATTTGCAGGGTGGTTCAACTTCGGACATACCAGTTGCCTCTGACATATGAATGCGTGAAATGCCACCAGCCCACGGGTTCTGTATGAACCACCGACAAGATATCTCCAATGACGCGATCCTCCAACAGTAGTTTTCGAAGCAACTGATTGTGGGGGCTGTAGCGAAGAACATGTCCGATCGAAAACACGGTCTGTTGGCCTGTGGCGTCAACGTTGTCTTGCAGGGCTTTGTACATGTCGAGGCAATGGTCCAGAGTGGTCGCCATGGGCTTTTCGCACATGATGTGTATTCCACCCAGCTTGGAAAGAGCAACGACAACCTCGCGGTGCATCTCGTCAAGGACACAGACAAAGGCAGCATCGATGCCGAGGGGAACATCCTTCTCCCCAGCCTCAGCTCTTGCCCTACGTTCCGTTTCATAAGCCACAAATTCACGCCAATCTCTGAAGGAAGCCCCCTCTGGTGGTGGTAGGGTTGAGCCCCATATCATCGTTGTTCCAAACTTGTTCCTCTTGTAGTCGTCTGGCTCCGCAACAGCACTAAGAACGCCATTGCTAGAGGAGATGACAGCTCGGCCATAGGCCCGACCGCGAGAACCGGCACCGATGACCAGAAGTCGGGGGGGACACTCGGAAACAGGGGGTGGCGGTGGAGGAACCACTCCCTGATCTCTGGGTGTTTTGTCGTCCATGTCCATCGGCAGGTAGGAACCCAATAAATGTGTGGTTGAGCGTCAGAAAGTTTGAGACTGGGAGAGCAGGTGCTCATATACCTGCCAGGCAGTTAGCCCACAGGATGTATGTGGCAGGGGATTCGAAGGAGAGGGAACTAGGGCTCATGGCAGGAGGTTGCCCTGCAAAATGCCTACGGTAATGCAAGATAGCCCGTATTAGGAACAGCGCTCCTCGTTCTGCCTTGCACAAACCCACAGCTCCGAGTCTCCAACCAGAGCCCTACCCGATGGGCGTCGATCTAAGGATAACCAAGCTCTGTGTTCCAATTGGTATGAGGGAGATGGTGTAAATGGACAATGCCCGGAACGATATCCGCGGCCGCCCCGCTTGGCCGTTCCCGTTCCGGGCCCAACCAGCTAATGTGCTCCGGGTCGGGTGTCTCCACCCCGCCTGCATGATTGTTTAACTCTACTTCTGACGTTCGGCGGCTGATCATAGGCCACTTGGGGTTTGGCTCTTTTCTTGGAACCGCCTTACTTTCCCCTCTTTCTCCGTAAAGGCGCAGTACGCGGCGAAAAAGAAATGTCCACTGACACGCCCGTATCCCATCCACGCGATGCCCTTGTGTGGATCGACTGTGAGGTATGTCGGATGTGTTGACGCACTTGACTTACGAGCTAACAGTAACTGACCATTTCATCATGATATGCCAGATGACTGGACTGGACCCAGATAATGACCTGATTCTGGAGATTTACTGTCTTATCACGGATGGTCAACTCAACCTGCTTGATGATGAGGGCTGGGGAACGATAGTGCACCAAAGCAAGGCGCGGATGGATGCCATGGACGACTGGTGCACTCGAGTCCGTAGGTTCAGCTGCCACCAGAGGACTTGGAAGCACACATCGGATTTCTAGGGCTAATATCGGTTCGACAACAGATGGTGGCAGTGGCCTTACCGATGCGGTGTTGAGATCAACCGTGACCCCAGAACAGGCTGCTGATGGGTTGCTTGCATACATTCAACAGTATGTGCCTGATCGAAATACCGCCCTTCTTGCTGGAAACAGTGTGCATGCAGACCGGGCTTTCCTTCGAAAGGCGCCCTATGACAAAGTTCTCGAGCATTTGCACTATCGGATACTCGACGTTAGCAGCATTAAGGAGGCAGCCCGTCGATGGTGGTAAGTGGTTTGCTCCATTTCATGCCCCCAACTGGGGAAACCTCTGACACTACTTTGCAGTCCCAAGATTGCTTCCAAGGCACCCCGAAAGAAGGGGCTCCACAAAGCCAAAGACGACATACTGGAGAGCATTGAGGAAGCCAAGTACTTCAAAGCAGCCATTTTCCACGGAACTTGGTCGAGTTAAAAGAGCACTCGGTATATGCAACTACAGGGCACGGCAGGGGATACAAATTACGTGTATTCAAAAACACACTACTACGCCTAGGTTGCTCTCATGCCGCTCTCTTGGAGAGCTCGTCTATGTCTTGACATTTGGCTCGTCTCTACCAACAAATTCCTTGAACTTCAGAAGCTCCGTCGCCATCTTGATCTCGGGTTTGAGGAACTCTTGTGCATCCATGTCATATGTAGCAGGGTCGCTGCTGTGCTGCTCAATGTAAAGACGAATTGTAGCACCTGACGACCCAGTTCCCGACAGACGAACAATGATACGGCTGCCAGACGAGAAGCAAGCATACAGGCCCTGGTTCGAAGATACGGAGCCATCCAGGTCAGTGTAGGAGAAGTTTCCGGCCTCGGTAACTGTGCGGTCTGTTTATCGAAGAAACATCGCTGTTAGCATGGGCGAGATAAAGCTGTCAGTTGTTGATATAAGCCATCACATACCTCCTACTTTGCTCCCGACGAAGTTGGGGTCCGCCACCAGGTCCTTCAATACGCCGACAACCTTGTTGGCGCCATCCGAGTCGACATCCTCGTAATCGTAGCGCGTAAAGAATGTGCGTCCATACTCGGCCCAGAAGTCCTTTTGGATCTGCTTGATGCTGGGCGCGACCCCGGGGTTAGCAACACCCAGGCCGGCAATGATGTTTAGCCAGGCTACAATGGCCCAGAGACCATCCTTCTCGCGAATATGGTTGCTTCCGGTACCAAAGGACTCCTCGCCGCAAATGGACAGCTTGTTGGCATCAAACAATGCACAGAAGAACTTCCACCCTGTCGGGACTTCGTAGCAGTTCAGGCCCTGCTTCTTGGCGACCAAGTCCACCGCCCCAGAGGTGGGCATGCTGCGGGCCAGGCCGTAGACGCCATTATTCTTGAAGTATGGAATCAAGTTGGCATGGTGGGCAATGATGGCCAAGCTGTCACCGGGGGACACGAAGGCACCAGCGCCGTAAATCATGTTGCGGTCACCATCGCCGTCGGATGCGGCGCCAAAGGGGATGCTGTTCTTCTCAACCACTTCGACTAGGCTGTGGGCATAGGTGAGGTTGGGGTCCGGGTGGCCCCCGTTGAAGTCAGGAGAAGGTTCGCAGTTCTGAATGGATTCAGCACCAAGACCAAGCTCCTGTTGGAAAATGGCCTTGCCGTACGGCCCAGTGACGCCAGAAAGGCCGTCGAAGAGCACCTTGAAGTCGGGATGGGTGTTGAAGAACTTCTTGATCAGTTCGAAATCGAAGATGTCCTTGAGCATCTCGACATAATCGGCAGTGCTGTCCACCACCTCAACTTCCAAGTCACCATATGACTGGGTTCCAATGGTTGAAATATCAATGTGGGGAATGTCGGCAATCTTGTACGACGTGAGCGTCTTGGACACCTCGAAGATCTTGTTGGTGACCGATTCGGGGGCAGGGCCGCCATTGGCAAGGTTATACTTGATTCCGAAGTCATTCTTGGGACCTACGGGGATATGTCGTTAGCACAAGGAACAAGACCAGAGAGGAAGATACCGGATCAGGTCTTACCGCCGGGGTTGTGGCTGGCAGTCAACAAGATACCACCGGTGGCCTTGCGCTTGCGGATGACATGGCTGGCAGCGGGTGTTGACAGAATGCCATTCTGACCGATCAAGAGCTTCTTCACTCCGTATGCGGCGCCGATCTTGGCAATGACCTGAATGACCTCGGGGTTCCAGAATCGGCCATCACCACCAATGACGAGATACGATCCTTGAGGCGTCGGCTGGTCAGCTACGAGTTCACACAATCTCTCGACAGACGGGAGCGCGCGCTATGCCCACCTTCAACGCCCTCGGGAATGGACAGCAGGATGCTTGTGACGAAGGCCTCGCTGTAATGCGGTTGCTGGAAGACTGTGACCTTCTTGCGAAGCCCGGAGCTGTAGGCGTGCACCAAGAGGTTAGAAACAAGACTGATTAATGATCCTCACGAGAGCTGGACAGAGCTTGGGGAAGCTCTCACAGACAGCTCAGCTCAGTTCCGCGGGGCAAGCTGCAGGGGGTTGGGGTGCTGGCCGGTGACGTACGTGCCAGGTTTCTGGTCAGTGAAGGGCTTGAACTCGACCGATTTGACTTGCATCTTGACGCTTTCGAGGTGGCGGCGTGATTCTGTTGCTCTACAGGAGTAAAGAGGAGTTGGAGGGGAGAAGACGATGGGCACTAGGGGGGGGCGTTATATGAGATTGATGAGGAGGGTGTGAGAGATTGGATCGGGACAAAAGAGGAGCACTTGTTGGGCTGGGGCGGGCACTGGCGGGGTGTGTGTGGCCCATGGCAGCAATTCCCGAGAGGCACTCGCCCCACCGTGCCATTCGGAATGGCAATGGCATCGCATCGAAACAGGACCGCAACTTCCTCTGCGGCGTGATGGGATGCAGGCAGACCCAGCGCCATGCCGCAGGTATGCCCGATAACTACTGCGCGCATTTTCACCTCGCACACGCAACCGGGCTGTTGTCAGGATAGCTCAAGCAACAGGCACGTGGAGGAAGCAATGACTCCCAGTCGTCTTTCGAACCTCTCTCGTAACTGATTTGAATAGACGAAATGACCCCGTAATGCTCATGCCCAAGTCTGGTGAACCGAGAAGGTGGAATCCGTGATGTCATGTCATAGTGACAGACAAAGACGGGTTCGGCCTTCTGCAGCGAGACCCCTCCGACGGGCCTAGGCTTGACCACTTGCTCCCAAGAACTCCATTCCATGTAGCACACATAGTCTAGCCGTGTGTTGTCTAAGAAGGCCCTGCATCGTCGTTATCAACCTCCTCGGACGACTCGACGTTTGCCATTCTCAATGCAAAGACTTCTCTGAACCTTTTTGCTCCTATATTTGTGACATCCTGTCAGTGAATTACCTCTGCGGATCTGAACGGATAGGGGCCACACACCTTCCTCGCGATCAAAATAAATCTCAAATGCACCAGACTTGTTCTGTCGCATATTTTCCTGCCGGTATGCGCTACAGAAGACATATAACTGAACATCCTTCAGCCACACACGGTGCTTGGAGCGACGGCTGAGCCAGGTCCGCGACTGGGACTGGTGTGTGACTGAGAAAACGGCGTTTAGAACAAGGTGGGCCGGTAGACAATAGGCACATGAAACTCACCAAAGGCTGTCCATACGGGACATTGTCTCAACTCCCCTTCCCATACCGCTGCATGGAGGCGTAGGCCTCGTGTTTGAATGTCTTCGTACACAATGAGGGAGTGTTTGAAGCCGTCATCAATAATTTGCCTGATGGAGACACGCAAGTCAGCTTGGACTGGGCCTGAACCCGTGATGGAAAAGGTGGGAGGAGGGAGTCTGGTTTAAACGCACGCTTGAAAGAGACGTTTCTCTCTCTGAAGTCCAAATTCATTGGGATGTATTTGCACCGTCAACATATTGCGTGCCTTCAGCGCCACAAACGTACAGTAAAACAACACCATTTCTAGACATCTTGTTAGCCAGTCCAGAGACAAAGGAAATTAAAAAAGTGACGAGGACGCCTACCTTCCCATGTCAGGAAATATAGAGCAGCCCAGAGTTTGCTGCATTGTTCTGACCGGCTCCATCGTTTGAGCTGCAGTGCACTTCCTTCCCGGTTGATACAGAGCTCGTGAGCACCAAACAGCGAGAACCAGGGAATATCGCCCTGCATGGTTCTCATGAGCAAGTAAGGTGATTGGTCGACCGAATTCAAGTAGACAACGATTGAGATCCTGTCCTCATCAAATGGCCTATAGTCACCAGTGATATCAATACCCTTTCTGCATTGAAGAACTGAACTTATATGGCCAGTACGCACCTCCGGAATAGAATTTTGGACTCTGACGGAATAGTGAAATGGCCCCAGGGGTAGAAGGGTCCATACGACTTGGAGCTTGAGAAATACGTCAGCTGGACCTTCAGAGGTGGCTATTTTCAACAGAACATACGGTCTTAAATGTTTCAGGGCCGTTCGAGACGGCAGCGGTAGGGAGAATATCTGCTCCGCCCAGTGTGCGTTCTGTGATTTGTTAGAATGGTGAATTCAACAGAAAGAGAGAACCTCACGAACGGCGTCTTGCATGATTGCTAGTGGCATGAGCTCTTGCCGCACCAGGGTCCCAATCTGCATCGGAGGTGGCGCTTCAGGGAGAGAGTAGTCGTTAGCCACCGCGAATTCTTCCTGGCCATGCGCCAGCTAGCTCCAGGGGGAAGAAGCTCACCGATTCCTCTCTGTTCCCGCAGCTTCAAAATTCGAGTGCGGAGGGTTTCAAGAGTGTTGAGCTCAAAGCTCGGCGACCTAAACAAAGTAAGCTCACGGCCAAATAAAGTGTTAGAAGGAGATCAAAGTTACCTCGTCAACAGCTGCTTCAGCAACGATAGGAAGTGATTGTAAAGGACAAATCTTTGTGGAAGTGGGAGCCCAGAGGCTTCTTCCGTCATTTTATTGTACATCTTTCGCCATCTCATTTCTCTCGAAATGGTTTTCTCCTCATAGTAACCGATGATATCTTTCAGGGTCCGAGACAGGCAAGGGAGCACGACGTTGAGGTAGTTGGCAACGATGGGGACACGCGAGAAGTGCACCTGGGATCGGTCGGCGAGGTCACGTAGAAGACGGCACGAGCTTCGTATCTCCCCGGTGAGGGCAATGAGATGGCCGTGGAAGGACTCGGGGAGTGCTATTCGTAGTTGATCGAGACCCATGGCCACAATCTCGCACCTGTCAGCCTCACGACAGCAGCCCCGGAGGAGGTGTGCCTCAATGGGGATGTTGAGGTTCACTGCTGTCTCGAGTTCCATGATGACTTCTTCTGTCAGTCGATTGGGTAGTGTTTACAAATCAGCTGAGATATCGAGTTGAGTAATTCGTGCTGATTAGTCTGGATGACGGCGTCGGCCCATGGCGGACCTTGAAAATCATGATCTCTGGATGGGCCGGTATATTGCTGGCACCGGTGTTTTCTGGCGCCCTCCCCCCCCTGAGATAGGCGATGGTGTTTTGGTTATTTCAAGATGATGTGCCGTTGCAGTGTCGAGGCTGGGGAGAAACAGGGCAGTGGAGGTTAGCACACTACTGACCCTGCCCAACCACCTGACCCGAACTCGAAGAGGAGAAGGGGTATGACAGTGGGCGGCGATGACAGGGGGTTTCAACAAAAGCTCAGCCAAAGACTAGAGCGGTCACGATCTTTGTTCCGAGCTTTTGCACAGAAGGCAGGCAGGAGAGGACGGGGGAGGTTGCAGATCGGAAGAAGTCCGAGGGAAACAAGCAGACGGGGACGAGACCGACTTTAATGCCAAGCCAACCCACCGACAGCGGCCGTGAAACATGCCTGTCATGCCCCCTCTAGTGTAAAGAGCCTCAATTGTTTAATCAACAACAAGTGCCGACTCTGAATAGCCTCCCATAGCCTTAGGTTATGATCAGGGTTATGAAGCAGGAGGTGGCCCGTAACACGGTATAGCCGTGGACGAAGGGAGCCGGATATTGGGTATCGAGGCATGATAAAAGAGACGCCGAACGAGTAGAGAGGAGGGAAAGATGGGGAGGCTCGAATCAGATGAGGCAAGGTGCATAGATTGCTGCAATGCAGAATAAACCGAGGAGTCAGAGACTGCCACGAAGCCAGCCCAGATGCTGCAGCAGCAGCAAAGGTCATAAACGTGCATTAGACAACTGTTGGAGGACTGAAGAGCGAATGAAGAGAACCGGGCCTCTGCGGCGATGGGACCTGCCATGCCGGGAAGAACCAATCGAGCAAGAGAGACCATGCATGGTAAGTTGCAGCAAGTGGACAATCTGCTGCCCACATGACGATGATTGGAAAGGGATGGGCGAGGGGGCGTGATTTTCACGTGAGCAGCAACTGCTGTGAGCTTTTTGGCCTGTGGAGCGAAGTATCGAACCACACCCGAACAATGGTTTGGCCATACGTCGCAGGTCGTCGACTGCGGCCCCAGATTATGTTTGGGAACCATTGCAAGAAACATGCTTACAATTGGGGGACATGATATTATGTAAAAGGCTCATTGTTGTCTCGAGGCCCAGGAGATGAGAAAAGGAAACCTTGAATATTTGTTATACATGTGTAGGTAGTAGCTTAAGGGGCCAGCATCACACCCCTCATGGACCCATGCGGTCCCCCAGCCCAAAAGAAGTCATCTGTAAGATTCCCTCTCCCTGAACGATTCCTTTGATCATAGCAAAACCTCGCGCAAAACCATGCCGGAAAATAACTGAAAAATAAAAAGAGAAGCAGTGAAATCCCATGGCCGTGCCCCAAGCAACACCGTCCCAACCCAAAGATACATGGTTTAAAAAAAGGCGCCGAGCAAGTCGCACCGCCTTTGCATTGACTGGATATGTTTGTTTGTTTTTTCAAGACTAGTTGCCGCGAGCGCAACGAGTCGGCGAGAAAAGAGTGTATTTAGGACGACTCCTCCTCGTCGCCGTCGGCCTATGCGAACCGGTCAACCATCTTGCACCCTGGGAAGGTGTGATGCTCAGGCGAGACTTACGTTGTACGCCTGCTTCTCATCCTCATAACGCTTCTTGTCGGCGGCAGCCTTGGCCTCATACGGGGCACGCTGCTTGTCGCTGAGAGCCTTCCATCGCTCACCGAGGATCTTGCCAACCTGGCCGAAGGAAACACCAGGGTTCTCCTCGCGCACGTTCTCTCTCTGCTCGTTGGCAAAGAACATGTACGCCGAAAGACCACGCTTAGGAGCGTTGGGGTCTGCAGAGGCTGGTCAGCTCACGGCCCAGGCCAGGTCAAGACGCGTCAGGACGCGCCAAGGATCCATTCTTTGCTTACCCTTCTTGCCCCGCCCCCTCTTCACCTTGGGCTCGGCCTTGCTCTTAACTGCGGCCTTAGGCATAATGATTGATGTGAATCTATCGAGAGCACCATGTTAGTCTGTGAGACGTGTGAGGAGGAATGCGAGGCCAGACTGCGTGTTGCGGGGGGTGCATGGTGCGAAGGGGGGCTTTCTCAAGCAACAGGCGCAACATGCGCGCGCGTCACGTGGTGAGAAGCCGTAAGAGCTGCCCCATCCCCGATGACGAATGGACGAGTGGCCCAGAGTCGCAAACGCAATTGCGCGCGACGACGGCATCAAAACACGGCGCGAAGCTCAAAAATCAGAAGAGAACATGTGAAGATACGTACTGAAACGGGTTTGAAGGGATTCAGATGATGAAATGTGGGCTGGTGCTGGAAGTGCGCGACAGGTCAGTATGTCAGGTCGTTGTTTTGATCCGAGGGTTGAACTGGGTTGGCAGAGAGCAGGGCGGAGTGAGAGATCAGAGAGGAGTATGAGTAGTGGGTGGGAGATGTGCAGCATAAACCGAAGGCAGGCTTTGCGTCGGGTGGGTGGATGAGAAGGGAGAGTCAATGACAATGACCCAAGGTGCTGGGCGGCGGGGAGGCAGATAATTGCTTGCTTGCTTGTTGTTGCTGTGTATTGTTGCTGCTGCCGTTGCTGCTAAAAGGGAAGGGCAATGGAGAAAAGGCGCAAAGCCAATGGAGCAGGGCAGGAGTACTTGTGGTTTGGCGGGGAATGGCGGGCAGTGGGAGGTACTCACCGGATGCGCAGTTGTGCGGTCTTCAGTATTGGGAGTTGTGTGAGGTGCAAGTTTGTATGGGAGAAGGAAAGGAGAGTTGAGAGGGGAGGGGGACGCTGGGGAGCCGATTTTTCTAGAGGCAGGCCCGCTCCCTCACCCCGCCCGCCCCTTGATTCAAATCAGCCCGCTCATGCCTGGTAACAAAAAAAAGCTGCAGCCGGGCTGATTTTTTTGGGCCTGATTTTTGGCACCCACTCAACGCACCGGCCAGCCCTTGGGCCCTTGACTGCAAAGTACAAAGTACAAGGGTCCTTGTACAGCCGAACTGTGCGTTTTCGTACCCGGTACCTGCGACATTTCCCTCTCGTGCGTCGGCAGCGATGTCTTATATCACTACACCAGAAGGCCCCTTCTTGCTCTCACCTGCAACCCGCCGACACATCCTACTACACCACGGCCGGAAGCTCGTTGCTCGTTGCGACACCTCGGCCAGTTCAACTCGCTCCTGCCCAGCTCGCCATTCTGTCGCAGTCATGGCCACGTCCAGCCCAAGGGTTGAGTATGTCATCCATACACGAAAACAGCTTACCTCTCAAAAGGTTGTTGCGGGTGTTACACTAAGCTGCAGGGCGAACAGAGAAGAGCGGCAACGGCAGCAGCAGCGGCAGCAGCAGCGGCAGCAGCAGGATATTGCGGTGAGCGCAAACGGTCCTCCCTCTTGCTGGTTGCCGGCGCCGTCTTGATACATTGCTGGCTCAGAACCAATCAACAGCTCATCTGTCTACCTCAGGATACCAATAGGTGAGGCATAGGCAGCTGCAGCAAATGCCTTCATGGGCCTGGGGCTGTCCTCAGTCCAGGTGAGGTGCTCAGAACGCGTCTGATAGGTGCACGGTTCCCTTCAACATGGGCAGGTACATCTATGGGTGCTGAAATCCTTTGCCTACCAAGTACCCCGTACCTCTCTCTCCCCTCACAATTCCCCGTCCTTCAAAGAGCATGGGCGCATCTCTGTCCGCGCCTCTCCCTTATCGGCCTGGTTGGCATGGTTGGTCAATCACACACCTTTTGATGATTTCGGAGCGCTTGGTCACTCGCACCCAGTCACCCAGTCCCGTCACCCCAACATGCCACTGGCCCCCTCTGGGCAGGTTTGCAAGTCCGCTCC